TATATATATATATATATATATATATATATATATAGAATCTTTCTAAGAGAATCGTCTTGTATCGACAATTGTTTTGTATCTTCTAAACAAGATCAGGCATGTATATAATGCTGTGAGTGTATATCGATATAAACAATAAGTAAGAAAAAAAAACCTTCCGGTTCAGGATAATATTTAGCATATAAAGTACCTCTTTAAAAGAATGAACATCACTGCCCCAAAGCCAAGCATCGCAACCAGCATCCCTTGCGCCCCATACATCATTCCTCCTATCATCACCTACATGCACTGCGTCTTCAGGTTTCACTCCCAGTAACTCACACGCCCTCATAAATATCATCGGGTTCGGCTTCTCTGCCGCTACCTATAATTATTGGGAGAAAATTAAGAAATTTGTGAACAAGTTTATTTGACAGTAAATTAAATTTATAAACTATTGTGGAACAAACTTCATAATTCAAAAGAAACCATGTTGTCTTGTAGAGGATAAAACTTGATCAAAACTAACCAAGGTTTTCACTTAACATTAATCATGTACTTAAATGACTTAGATATGATAAGACTTCAGCAATAGAATATGAATCAACACAAGTTGCTGAGGTGATGGATGTAAAAATAAAAAGAGGCATATACAAACATGCCATAAAATTCATATGCATTTACATATCTAATATTTTAACTTTCATATTGTGTGCATAGCACTCACATCTTTAACTTCACATCAAAAATATCACTACTATTAACTTTATGAAAGTTAAAGACGCCTTTTTCATGAATAGGTCAATGATACCAAAGTGATATGAATACAAATATCAAACAGAGATGTTAAATATGTAAATGCATAAGAACTATGTGGTATGTAAGTGAATTTCCCAGATGAAAAACACAATAAATTGAGATTGTTACTTACCTCAGCAGAGACAGCAACTCCATCAAACCAGTGATCGCACTTGAGAGCCCTTAGTAGAGGTCGTAATCTAGTGTCAAAATTTGAGACAACAGCTACTTTCACCCCAGCTTCCCTGAGAGCTTCAAAGACCTTTTCGGCATTAGGATCACAAAGGTGCCATGCCTAAGAAATAAATCAATAAACAATTATCAAAAAGGTTAAATAATAATAATAGGTCCATAAGACTGAAAGATGAAAAAAGGCATGCCTTGTCAGTAGTATAGTATTGATAAAGTTCTTCAAAGTATTGAGAATCTGAACAGCCTGTGGACGAAGCAACAATGAATTGCCAAAATGGCCTCCCATCATCAACATATCTGAAATTATTTGTAAACCAGAGAGAATAAAAATGTAAACGACAAGGAAATAAGTATTATTCTACCTGTAAAAGGGAAAAAAAATTCAAACATTGGCGTGAACTAAGGCGAGCAGGCCAGGGGAAAAAAGTTAGAATGACTAATTAAAGAAAAAATAGTGAAAACATACCTAGTTTCTCATATAATACTTCAAAAACACACATATCAAATTAGAAAGACAAGGGATAAAATCTACAATGAAACTATGATAATTAGGCCCAGTTTGGGGATTTTGTGTGGCATCTGGAGCTGTTTTATTCTCGCTTAGCTGGACCAGAGAAAAATGCCACCCCACCACATAGCCATCATTTGTGCCACTAGGCACCTGCTACTCTCGAATGCTTGTAGTAGCATCAGAATGTGTTTATTACTAATCCGTATGAAAAAGAATTAAATAAGGACTACTAACAATGAAGACGAAACAAAAGTTCATAAAAAGCCATCATTCATTCTAATTAAACTCCTTTCAGTGAAGTTTCAGAAAGCAAAGCCATCATTTCAAAGATTCAATTTATTGATAGTATTATGCAGAACAACGCCACTGAGAATAGAAAAAACACAACGCAGGAGATAAGATTATTGAATCAGATCAATGTCGTTTGAGATTATACCATATTGACATTTGGCAGGCAGCGCTGCCTTATAGAAAAATATAATTTACATTTGCACAACATATACATGAAACATAACTAACAATTTAATCTCATGGCCGGAGAATGTAATAATCATCACTAGACCTATCCAGAAAATTTTGAAGCTTTATCAATGTATTCATTATAATTGAGTCCTATACAAGATTTGATCTCCATTCTGCACAAATACTTTTGTAAGGAGTTACTAATTATCTACATTTACCTTCATAAACGTTCAACAGTTATTCCATTGACCTTCTGCGTGAATAATAATCCTATTCCACTATCCAAATCTTAACTCACTTGACTATACTGCATAGCATAGTGTCACAACCAGGCCTGATAGTTTGGAAATAACCAAGTCAGGAACTACAGTCGGACGATATTAACATTTCATTTCCTTATCATATTTTTCAGAAACTTCCAATATATAAAAATAGTCACTAATAATCCACAAATATACTTAAGAAAATTTAAATCATCTAACAATAACAATAATATCTACAAATGAAACATCTAAATCCACACAACAATATATCAATGTCCAAAAGAAAACAATGCAAAAAGAGCTAACAAATACATCATAACATGATATCTAGCCATATTTTACAAAAAAGTTTTGATGTTATTTTAAAATAAATATCATAGTTATTTATACAGAACTTTTACAAAATATCCTTTGCAGATTACAAAATCATCCATCAAATGATCCTTATAAAAGGCTCATTCTATAGTGAATAATTCTTCTGTTCTCTTTTTTTAATTTCTTGTTGCTACTCCTATAAACAAAATTTTTTCTGCAAGACATATCAACCTATAACTTTTATTTTCCTGAAAGAAATCATTAATTTCAATAGTAAATTTGACATAGTGAACAATTATTATCTTAATATGCATTAAATTCATATATAAAAGCTGTGTGAATTACCAAATTAATACAATTCAATATTTTATAAAACTATAAACTTTCACTTTAAATTTATTCATTCCAGTTTAAATTTAACTATTTATCTATTTTTAACCTCGATAAGAGTCATAATAGAATTATCGTCCTACCCGAAGGTAGTCTCAAAAATAAGTCCAAAGGTATCCTAAAAAAATTATCCAAAGGTACCCTCAAAATTTACACACGAAAATACACCTTTATCATTTCCTTTAACATACACAGGTACATCACATCCCTTATCAATATCATCTAAAAGTAATCCTATATTATTTAAACTTTTATATTTCATTTCTTTTAAATTACATTCTTTTAAAGACATTGAATAATCATTTCCCCATTTTCCCATTTATTTTCTTTAAATTCTTAAGCTTACAATATGCATATAATCATAAAAATAATTGTCTAAAACATTAAATAAATTCTTTATTTGATAAATTTTAAATTTAATATATATAAGAAAATAATACTCATCACTTAGTTTGTTTGTCAAACTGGTTCCCAACTCCTTGACATTCTAGACTCAAAACTCCTGACATTCTAGACTCAAATATTCAACCTAAATTGCTATTAAACATTAACATTTTTAAATATTAATCCAAAATTATGTAAATTAAACTTTAACTTTTAATTAGAACATAATTATCTTTTAAAGTGACTTATCCCTTGATCTTGAAATTGAATCTTTCTTCCTCCAATTTATCCCTGAATCATGTAAATTTTATTTTAACATTACTTAAACAAATATATGCTCTCACACACATATATTAATTAATTAATTTAAAACTATAAAAAATTTACCTTGTATACACTCAACCGATTGCCCTAGCTCACACATGCGAGCTCCTTCCTTCTCCTCCCATCGGTCTAGGCTAATCCAAAGCCGCATACACTTCTTCTTCCTCCGGTCTCCCTCCTTAGGTCATGGCTCAACCCAACACTGCTTGCATCTTCTCCTCCTCTTCCTCTACATGCGAGTCTGTGATTTCCTCAACTAAGACTCGACTCCTCCACCATTTTGCAAGGTAGCAGAACAAGAAGCCATGGCGTTTTCCCTCTTCTCCTTCGCTCTTCTCCTTCGATTGTGTTAGGGTAAGGTTTGGCAACCTCCCTCGCACGAGAAGGGTGGCTCATTATTGTTTTCCCCGGCTCGAAAGCGGCATCACACGCACAGTAAGGGAGCTTCAACTCTTCTCTGGCTTCACCGCATAGTGACGCTCACCAAAACTTACGCTTCTTTTAAATTAGGTACAACGACTTCTCCTCTGCTCAACAGATCATCGATGGAGCAGTTAGCTAAGGCTGGAAAGGACCTTGCCTCCCTTCTTCATTCTCCATTTTTTCTTCTCTGGTCTAATTCTCGTTTTTCGTTCGTTGTGTGACGACTATGAATGAAAAAGACCAAGAGATGCCAGACCCCACGCTATTTCACTTAAACAAATCATCCGACTATTGGTTTCGATACATTATTACTATTATTATTATTATTATTATTATTATTATTTATTAATTTAATTAGTTGAAATTCAATTATTATAATTTATCATTCTTATAAAAGGCTTAATATCAACCGAGTATGCTATCATCCAGCTAGATTCGTCTGCAATACACTTTCCAAATAAAGAAATATGAAAAACATTATGCCTCCTTGCATATGAGCTGATAAATTCAATCTGTGTGTAATATTTCCGATCCTCCACATAATTTCAAATGGATTGACATATTTGGGGCTCAATTTTATGTTAATCCAAAGATTTGCACTTTTCAAAGGACCAACCTTGATAAAGAAAAACTCTCCAACTTCAAACTCAATAGGTCTGTGTTTGGCATCGTAATATTCCCTCTTCCTATCTTGCACTGCCTTCAATCGTCTCTAATTGGTTAAATCCTTTCAGTAGTATCATCAACTAAATCATCTCCAATGATCTTTCATTCGATTGTTTTAGTCCAACATTAAGGTGTCTAGCACTTGCTTCCATATAGAGTCATCCCAATGCTAGCATGGTAATTGTTATTATAAAAAAAAATTCTACAAAAGATATATGTGATTACCACCCTCCACTAAAATCAAGGACACATAACCTTAGTATATGCTCCAAAGTCTGAATAGTACTTTTTGACTAACCAACTGTCTGAGGGTGAAATGTTGTACTGAAAGTCAATCAGAGGCCCAAAACTTCCTGAACTTTCTTCCACAATCTGGAAGTAAATCTGTCATCTAGATCAAAGACAATAGACTTTGATACTCAATGCAGTTTCACAATTTGATCCACATAAAACTTGGCTAAACTCTTCACTAGATCTCTCCATCTAATGGGTAAGAAATGGACATACTTAGTCAACCTATCAACAATTACCCAAATAACATCATGACCATGAAGTGATCTAGGCCACCCAATCACAAAATCCATAGCAATCGCTTCTCATTTCCATATTGAAATCAGTAATTATTGTAAATGGCTTCCAAGATGCTGATTTTCTGCCTTAACCAGATGACATGGAAACTTAGCTACCAATTCTGCCACAATCCTCTTCGATCCTGACCACCAAAAAATTTTCTTGAGATCATGGTACATTTTATTACACCATGGGTGAATAGCTTAGACAGATAAATGGGTCTCCTGAAGAATTCTCTTCCTTAGATTATCAACTTCTGAAACATAAACTCTGGCTTTATATTCCAATAAGTCATCCTGATTTAATACATACTTATCAGAACTACATGTCTTAATCTGCTCCAGAACTTTCTAAAACTATTATCTTTAGCCATAGAACCTTCAATGCTGCCCTTCAAAATTGGTTGTACCATCAACAAATATAAATGATCATATTGTCATCACCAAAATCAACTATAAATAACTTCAAATTCTCCATATCTTTAACTAACAGCTCCTATTGAGTAAAGAAATAAATTAAATTATCTGAAGTTTTCCTATTCAACGCATCAACAACCACATTTACCTTCCCCAGATGATACTAAATATCCAAATCATAACCTTTAATAAATTTCAACCATCTCCTCTGCCTCATGTTCAACCCTTTATGAGTAAAGATATACTTCAAACTTCGGTGATCAGTAAATACCTCACATCTAACTCCATACAAATAATGCCTTATATATTTTAAGTACAAAAACAACTTAATCAAGCTCCAAATAATGTGTGGGATAGTTCCTTTCATGATTATTCAATTTCGTGATGCATATACAATGAACCTTCCATGCTGCATAAGTGCTATACCTTTCAAAAATGCATCATTGAAAATTTAAAACTCATCTGAACCTGAAAGAATAGCCAATACTGAAGTAAACATTAAATAAGTCTTTAGTTTCTTGAAAGCCTCCTCACAATGATCTGACCATTCAAATTTAATTCTCTTCTGATTCA